ACACTCATACATACATACGCACACATAGTATAAAATCAGTTCTTAATATTTTCCATATTCTTAACATATTAACTTTGCGCGAGTATATTTTCAATTGAGTTGTACAACCTTGATATGACAAACATCATCAAACATGTTTTTGGTTGTTTTTTTAAGATGGATGTTCTTCATCATTTATTCAAGCTTAAAACATTTCTGCCTCTAATTTTATAAATTTTATTTTGATATTTTAAAAAATTTAGAAAATTTTAGAGAAGAGTTAGTTTGGTAATGACGTATTCAAGAAAATTTTAATTCAAAATATATGTGTGCGTGCGTGTGTGTGTGTGTAAGTGTGTGCGTGTGGGAATGTTTGAAAAGCAATAAATGACTGATATATTTTGGCATGAATTGAGTAATATTTGCGCTACGCACATATGAGCGTTGAAGGTCTCAGAATAATCACAATTGCGTGAATAATTGTTGAGACTGTAGAAACATGGATGTACATTGAAGGATGGTAACTTGTTATATAGCGCTTTACTCGCCGAGTGAGACATGACATCAACTTGATCGAAAAATTCGTGACATCAACGTCACCGAATCAATAAGTTTGCGACATCAACATCAGCATCAAAACGACACTCACCAACCACATTACTCTGCTACAAAAAAGCCCGCATTATTTTAAATCACTCGGTGCATTAGTCACATGCGGCTTGCAATCGTGTGCCGACTCATATAACGCTGCTAGAAGGGAATGCTGATGAATTGTTTTGTATTTTAAAGGCATGGTAAGTTTTCTGATGAAAAAATATTTATTATGCGTGCTTTTGTGTGTGTGTGAATGTGCGTGTGTGTGCGTGTGTTTGTTTGTTTGTGTTTGTGTGTGTGCGTGTGAATGTGAGTGTGTGTGCATGTGTTTGTTTGTTTGTTTGTGTGTGTGCGTGTGTGTTTGTGTGTGTGTGTGTGTGTGTGTGTGTGTGTGTGTGTGTGTGTGTGTGTGTGTGTGTGCGTGCGTGACGGTTGTGTTTGTGCGTGTGTGCGCGTGTATATAAATTTGTGTGACTTGATGGATGAATAAATGGGTGTGAAAATGAATTAATTGAAAAATTAACTTGTTTTTTCATTTTTAAAATAAAAAATATTTTTATATGTTGCCTGGAGAAATGCGTGAAATTGAGAGCAAATAAAATTTGACAAAACTAAAAAAATTAAATTAACAAATCAAAAAAAAATAATTAAATTCACAGATAAGTTTCATTTTGAACGGACATTTTTAAACTTTTGACTGATTGCTTTATCGATTGCTTCATTGATTGATTGATATTTTCAGATCGCCTGCATTAGTCTGGCAGATTATTATTCACATCAACTCCATCCTCATCATCACCCACCTAATCAATTTTATGTGAATCAAATTTTCAAAATTGCGAAAAATAAAATTTCAACCCACCAAAAACAAACACTAATAAGAACAACGCCGAGAGCAAACCACAACAACAAACAACAACACTAACAACAACAAACAACAACAAAATGAAACACCCACAACAGGCGGTCATACAGTGGCGATCGGGGATTGCGCACAAAGCGTCTACGAACCAGGGAAATGAGTGGCCCACTGAAACAGTGGCTCTACAGACACCGAGACACACCCTACCCCAGCAGGGCAGAAAAATTGGAACTCAGCTGTCAATCAAACATGACCTTGACCCAGGTCTCCAACTGGTTTGCTAATGCGAGGTTCGTTCATTCATTGGTCAATGTATCTTACGTTGCTGAATGTATGTGCTTGCGTGCGTGTGTGTATGTGAGTTTATACAATCAGTTTAAATGTCTTTTAGTGTGAGGATTTTTGTATTTGTTTGTATCAAGTCATATGTATCTTGATGACTAGATGATTATATGTATTTTTTCTACATGTTTTTGCGTGAATGTGTTATATTTTCAAACCCGTTAACTTTAAAACCGGCAAATAGCAGTTAAAAATAGATGTTGTTTGAATTTTAAAAAAATGTTTTTAATTTTTTTTTAAATTTTGATATGAAACGATTTTAAAACATAGAGCCTAGCAAAAAATGCTTGACTATTCCACTGTACATGACCTAATTAATAACGTGACCTAATTCATAACTTGACCTAATTAGCGAGATGTTGATGAAGTGTGCACTTATTGGGTGCACTTGAACTACTTGGAGGAGCTCATGAACCAGCTGGCTGAATATAGATTGTCTTTAACTGGATGTTCTTAATTTAAATGCAGATTTTTTGGATGTTTGTTTTTTGTGATTGTGTGTGTTTGTGTGTGCCAATGAGTGTTTGTGTGTGTGTGTGTTTGTGTGTGCCACTGAGTGTGTGTGTGTGTTTTTGTGGCAAGTGTGTGTATGTAATGTGTGGTTTTTATTTACGTGTTGTCCGTCTCAACAATCTCAACTTGCTCTGGTGTTTCATAATTTTTATTGTTTTGTATTTATTTCATTTTTATTGAGTGTTATAAGAGTAACAACTGCACGTGATTCAATGCTTTATTTTGTTCAAGTTTCATTCGAGTCATATTTAAATTATTGAATTAGTATTTAACGTTACTGTGCGACTTTTTGGATTTTCAACGTGTAAAAATTAAGTATGCATCTCAACATTCATTGTTCATTTCAGTGGTTCATAAACATGATCAATTAATATTCATGAGAAATTCAATCGACCAATCACAGGAGGCGTCTGAAGAACACCGTTTCCGGCACAAACATACCTTGGTCCAAACGAATCAAACTCTACAACAGGAATGCCGCAGCCAATCAAGAGCTTCTTAGCATTAGCTCGGATGATGATGATGATGATGATGATGATTGTGGTGATGGTAATGATAATGGCAGTGCTGATAACCATTGTGGAAATGATGACCACGACGGTGATGATATCATTGGTGACGGATCACGTGATTATGAAGATTACAAACTACTTGGTGGTAACAAGTTGATAAATGGTGTTGATGATGATGGTGATGAGGACGATGATGGTTATGGTGATGATGATGGCGATGATGATGATGATGATGAAAATGCAAGAGGAATGAGTAGACTGATGATTAGAAACATTGGCGATGATGACGTCAACAACAAAAACAACAACGACATTGTTGGCGGTGACGACGATGAAGATGAATACAACATAAACAATTGCAATTATACTAAAAATGATCAAGGCGATAAAATCCCTAATAACAACAACATTAACAGCAACAATAACAATAATAACAATAACATCAATAATAATGATAAATATCGCACCGACATCCATTGCAATAATAACCGCTACTCATCAAACGCAAATTTGATTGATGGTTACAACACGGATGACGACGATGACGACAATAACAACAAAAACAATAATAACAATAACAATTTTCATCATCATGACATCAACAATAATAATAATCTTTGTCATCATCATCGTCGTCGTCATCTAAGAGTGACCTGTGATAACATTTTACTCACTCTAGGTTGTAATAATGGTGATTACGCTGATGATGACAATTATATCATCATCAACAATAATAATAATAACAACAATAATAATAATAATAATATTAATAATAATAATAATATTAATAATAATAATAACCATAAACTTTGTAACAATGTGTTCGTTGATAATAATGTTAAAATTAAAGCAAAGAAAAATAACAACAACGTTCGTGATGAGGATGATGAGGATGATGATGTCCTAGGTTGTGGTGATGATGATCGTGAAAAACGTTATAGTTATGATGATGATAACGATAGCAAGTATCATGGCGGTGATGATAATGATCGAGATGATGATGATGACGACGACGACGATGAGGATGGAGTGAAGAAGAAGAAAAGGAAGTATTTGTTTCAAGGTTGGTGAGAGTAGTATCTCCATTAATTTTGTACAATTATTGTTACTGTTATTATTGGTAGTAGTAATAGTTGTTGTTGTTGTAGTAGTAGTAGTTGTAGTTGTAGTAGTAGTAGTAGTAGTAGTAGTAGTAATAGTAGTTTTTTATCATTATACATATATACATATATATATACATACATATACATAGATTTATATACACACATACTTAAGTGCACTAATACATACTAGCACATACAAACACACAAACACACTATTATAAACACATAAACACATACAAACGCACACATACACACACATACATACACGTACATACATACATACATACATACACATGAATACATACATACATACATCATCAAAACGGGTTCATACATACACACACACACATACACATATATAAACATACAATCACGTTTCTAGACACGTGCATGCATTTAGTTGTATTTCAAACAGGAGTTTGATTGATGGCAACGCCTAAGAGTCTATAAATAAAAGCTCACCTCAGAGAGAACTGCCTCTCTCTCTCTCTCTCTCTCTCTCTCTGGAATATTATTATCCCATTCTAAGAATATCTACCACGCTTTTATGTTACTCTACGTTGGTCTAAGTTCTGTTGTAGTTTGGCTATTTGTGTATGAAAACACGTGTGTAAGGGTCTGTGTGTGTGTTTGTGTGAGTTTCTGTTCTATTTAGAAGTGTGGTGTATGTGTATTTATATATGTTTTTGTTTGTTTTTTGTAAACTACTGTTTGCGCGTGTTTGCGTGTCTGTGTGGTGTGTGCGTGTGTGTGTTTGTGCGTGTGTGTGTGTCGTTGATGATAGATAGATGGCAGTAACGATGCAAATTCATTGGCGAGGGAAACCTCAATTCATTTGATGCTCTCTTCAACATTTCTTGCTCGGTCGGTTGGCTTGTCCTGTGTGTGTGCAGGTGCGTGTGTGTGTATGTGCGTGCGTGTGTGCGTGCGTGTGCTATTGTATGTTAACGCGGAAAAGTATGTATGTTGGCGTGTATGATGGAGTGTTTGCCAGACGGTGGATGAATGAATAAGCTGCCTACCTACGCAGAGCTATCTAATATAAGTTTATGATTCTATCTGCTCTCTACGTTACAAGTCTGTCAGAGACACTGAATGAATACAAATTTGTTTGTTCGCACGTAGTACTAATAGGCACATACAGGCATGTACATCTTCCTATGTGGTTAGTACACTTAAACCCACGTACAAATGATTATGTGTGTGTGTGTATATATCTGTGTGTGTTTGTGTGTGTGTGTGTTTGTACAGTAGAGAACATATCTTAATCTATTTAGTTCGTCAGCCAAATGATAAAAATAAAATGCCCCATAAACACAAGCAACTCCGATGAAATGTAGTCATTGAATTGAAATGATCCACGTTCTTCATGTCTGTATGTTTGTCTGTCTGTCTGTCTGTCTGTCTGTCTGTATTTATTTATGTCTGTATACTTCTTTGTGAGTTTGTTTGTATGTTTTTAAGTTTGTATTTTGTCGCTTTTTGTATGTAATCTACGTTTGTTCATATTTGTTTTGCTGTGTTTGTGTGTATGTGATTTTACTACTAAATAATTTTGAATTTGCAAAGGTAAAGAACGTACGTGTGTCTGTGTGTGTGAGCGTGCGTGTGTGTGGTATATGTGTGTGCGTGTATGTGTATGGTTACGTCAAAAAATGTGTTTATACTTACAAAGTTACATACAATGTTTGTACTCGGTATTGATTATACATCATTCCCATCTTGCGTGCACTCTACATATTTTCATTCCTACCTTTTTTATTCCTATTGTATGCCATTTAAAAAATTTTTGTACGTGCATAACATGAACTTATATGTGAACAACAACAACTACTACTGCTACTTCTACTACTACTACTACTACTACTACTACTACTACTACTACTACTACTACTACTACTACTACGGAACTAGCAGCAACAGCCACAACAGCAGCTACGACAGCAGCCACAACAGCAGCAACAACACGCTATACAAAATGGCGTCATATATAAGAACGATGACGTAATGTTATAGGTGTATGGAAGGGCCTTCAATGATCTGACGTATTGCATGACAGCGCAGACAATAACACGGGATGAAATATGAAATATCAATTAAACACTATGCATTATTGCTTTTTTGTTTTGTGTTTTTTTGCTGTTGTTTGCTAGAAAAATTAGTTTTTTCTGTATTTATTTTCATTTATTTTTATTTTTTGTATCTGTCGAATTTGTTTTATGATTTTTTGTGCAGGTTTTTAGAAGAAAAAGCGAACTACTGGGGTTATTGCAAATATTGTTGATGTTTTTGAGGTCTTATTAATGTTGTTGTTGTTAGTGTTTTTGTTGTGTGTGAGTTGTTGTAGCTTATATATTGCTGCTGCTGTTGTTGTATTTTATGTTGATGTAACAACTTTGAATTTGATGTCGCAGAAGTGTTTTTTATGCACATGTTTAACTCGACGTTTTTGTTTGTCTCGCATTGCAATTATTCTTACTCTTATTATTATTATAGTGTTATTGCCGTTGTTATTGTTATTATTAATGTCCTTTTTGTTGTTATTAATGTTATTGTCTTGTTGTTTCTGCAAAATCCTTTTAACGTATCAATGAATGTTTGACATTTTTTTTGGTTCGTCAAAAAGAAGTTATAAAATTTACAACGATGAGAAAGATAAAATGAAACGTAGAAGTAGTGGTGGTAGTAGTAATAGCAGCAGCAGCACTACCACTACTAGTAGTAGAAGCTGCAGCAGCTGTAGTAATAGCAGTAGGTGATGATGACGCCGATAATAGTGTTTTCTATTAGAATTATTCTTAAAGGGCTTTGTCACGTTACACTGTTGCTTTTTGTCCTAATGTTGTTTGCAAGCAACAACAACATTAACAATAATAAATTTATCATTATAATTATTTTTGTATTATTATTATTATTTATTGTTATT